TTGTAGAACATAAATTACTTTTGAAATTGAATTGCAAGCTAGTACAACAAAAGCTAAGGTGCATAAAGCCAGAGATGTTGCTAAAAATTAAAGAAGAGGTGAAAACGCAATTTGATGTTAGATTTTTGGAAGTGACAAAATATTTTGAATGGATAGCCAATATAGTGCTTGTTCCTAAAAAATATGAAAATATGAGAATGTGTGTTGATTATCAAGATCTGAATAAGATAAGTCCTAAGGATAATTTTCTTCTATCCTATATCAATACCCTAGTGGATAACACTGCTAGGCATTTCATATTTTCCTTTATGGATGGCTTCTTAGGTTACAATCAGATTAAGATGGCTAGAGAAAATATGGAGAAAACAACATTTGTAATCGTGTGAGAGACATTCTGCTACAAAGTCATGTCTTTTGGGTTGAAAAAAGTTGGTGCTACTTATCAAAAAGTGATAGTAGCTCTCTTTCATGATATCATACATAAAGAGATAAAAGTGTATGTGGATGATATGATTACAAAATCTCATGAAGGAGAAGATCATGTAGTAAATCTTAAAAAGTTATTTGATAGGTTGAAAAAATTCTAGTTGAAGTTGAATCCTGTTAAGTGTACATTCAGTGCTATATCAAAAAAACTATTAGGCTTTGTAGTTAATAAAAGAAGAATAGAAGTAGATCCAGATAAAATATATGCTATTCAAAATTTATCACCTTTTCATACCCCAAAAGAAATGCAAAACTTTATGGAAAGATTGAATTATATTGCTCGTTTCATCTCTCAACTCACCTACAAGTGTAATCACATTTTTAAGGTTCTTAGAAAACATGATCCAAGATAATGGAATGATGAATGCCAAGAACTTTTAACAAAATCAAAGAATACTTATCAAATCCACATGTGTTGGTGCCACCCATTTTGGGAAAGCTTTTGATTTTATATTTAATAGTATATAAAAATTTAATTGGATGTGTGTTAGGACAAAGAGATGAAACCAACAAGAAAGAACGAGCAATCTACTACTTAAGTAAAAAGTTCATTGATTATGAGTCCAAGTATTCGTCATTAGAGAATATATATTATGCACTAGCTTGGAAGCTTGAAGGCTTAAGCAATACATGTTTTATCACATTACTTAGCTTATAACAAAGTTATATCTTTAAAAAGTCGTTATTGACAAGAAGAATAAAGTGATGACAAGTTATGCTTTCAGAATATGATATTGTCTATGTAACTTAAAAGGTAATTAAAAGAAGTATAATAGTTGAGTTTCTTGCTGATCATACAGCCGAAGATTATGAACTAATGGAACTAGATTTTTCTTATGAAGATGTGCTAGTCATTGAAGAGAATGAACTTATTGAAAAGTTTTGGATGATGTATTTTGATGGAGCTACTAACACTTTGGGTCATGGTATTAGGACAATTTTGATATCTCCTGATGGACATTACTATCCCATCATAGCTAGATTAAATAAATAATGTGACTGAATATGAAACTTATGTTATGGGTTTGTAAGTAGTAATTGAAAGGAAGATCAAAATGTTAGACATGTTTGGAGATTCAGCACCGATCATTTATCAATTACGAAGAGAATAAGAAATGAGAGATTCGAAGTTAATCTGATACCATAAATATATCTTTGAGTTAGTCAAGCAATTTGAAAAAGTTCAATTCAAGCATTTACCTAGAAAAAAAAACCAAATTATTGATGTACTGGCTACTTTGGTTGTAATGATCAGAATATATGCAAATATCAAAATCCAACCCATCAAGCTAGATGTGAAAGATGTACTAACATATTGCTCAAGTGTTGAAAAAAAAGTTAATGGGTGGTAATTGTATCATATCAAAAGTCAACAATACCTAAAGCACGCAACAAAAAATGATGAAAGAATCATCAAAAGGCTGGCTATGAGTTTCTTCATTGATGGAGATATCCTTTGCAAAAGAAGCTGAGATAAAGTGCTTTAAAGGTGTGTGAGTGCAGTTGAAGCAAAAAGAATTATTGAAGAAGTGTATAATAGGGTTTGTAAGGCACATGCAAATGGTCATATGATGACTAGATAAATTATGAGGGATGGCTATTATTGGCTGACAATGGAGGGAGACTGGGTTGATTATGCTAAAAGATGCCATAAGTGTTAGATTTATGCTGACAAGATTTATGCTCCACCATTAGCATTACATATTTTGGCTCTTCCATAATCGTTCTCTATGTGGGGCATGGATGTCATTAATCCTATCACTCCAAAAGCTTCAAATAGATATAGATTCATCTTTATGATGATTAATTACTTCACGAAATGGGTAGTAGCTACATCGTATGCTAGCATAACCTGATCCATAGTATGCAAGTTTATAAAAAAAAAAAGATAATATGTAGATATGGGCTTCTAATGGCAATTATTTTGATAATACCAAAAACTTGAATAGCAAAATGATTAATGAATTATGCATTTCATTCAAGATTTATCAACGTAATTTCACATCGTATCGTCTGAAAATGAATGGGGCAGTAGAAGCAACAAATAAGAATATCAAACTAATCCTAGAAAAAATGATTGATACTTATAAACATTGGCATGAAAAGTTACTTTTTGCCTTGTATGCTTATAGAGCATTAGTCGAACATCTATTGGGGCCACCCCATTCTCTTTGGTTTATGAAATAAAAGTTGCATTGCTAGTTGAAGTGAAAATTTTCTTGTTAAAAGTCTTGATGGAAGTAGAGTTAGAAGAAGTAGAATATGTTTGGAATTGCTACGAGCAATTGAACCTCATTGAAGAAAAGAAACTTATAACACTTTGCCATGGTCAATTGTATCAAAAAAGAATGATAAAAGCACATAATAAGAAGATTTGCCCTTATCGTTTTAAAGAAGAAGACTTGATGCTAAGAAGGATCCTTTCAAATTAACATGATAATCGAAGAAAATGAACACCAAATTAGAAAGGCTCATATGTGGTGAAAAAGGTCTTTTCTGGTAGGGCAATGATTTTGGCAGAAATGGATAGAAGTGATTTACTTACTTTGATAAATTTAAATGCTATAAAGAAATATTTTGCTTGAAAAAAAAAGAAAAAATAAAAAAAATTGACATTTTTAAGCTGAAAATTTAAAAATAGCAACTTAAATGTGAAGAAGAAGCATCATCAAGAGATAACCTTAAAAAGTGCTTGACGAATTTTAAAGAATCAAGGAAGTCATCTGATTCAGTTTTAGAAAAAAAATCTAGGAATATTTTGTTCATGATTATCTTGCAATTATTATTTGGGTACCTTTGTTTCAACCCAAGCACTTTTGTTGACATGTACTTATTATCAGTCTAATGAAATATGTTGTTTTTCCTTTAGGAATAATGCGTATCCATTCTTTTATATCAATTTGTCACTTTTGTTCACCTTACGAGTGAACGAGAGGAATATGTGATTGCATTTTATTTGTCTTGAACTTAAAATGATGAAACATAATAACATGAAAGATCTCAACATTACTTTTTAAAAAAATCAATAAAGGCAGATGAAAAATAATGAAAAAGCATGAAAAGACATTGATGTTATAGATTTTTGAAAAAAAATATTGTTAAAAAAGAATACAATGGTTAGATGTTAAGAATAAATTGGTCCTATGGCAATTGTTAAGAATTCTGATAAAAAAAGCAAAAACGTGAAAGATTTCGAGAGCCTTTTACCACAATTAGAAATGAATGATCTTGATTGCATTACATGCATTGTATTTAAAGCACTCAGTATATGCATTAATAAGCAGTTATAATAAAGACAAGGATTTTTCATTCCCTAATGAAAAATGGAATTTTAGTTTTCGAATAATGATAATGATAAAAAAAAGACTTAAAAAAAGGGGAAATTTATTTTTTTCAAAGATGAGATTCAGTTTCGAGAATAGATGAAATTTTTTTTAAAAATTATTGAGGCTTTACCTAAAGGAGATTTTTCAAGATAAGAATTTTTAAAAAAAATGTTATTAAGCCTTTACTAAGAACTGTTTTTCATATGAGAATTATTTAAAGTTATTAAGCCTCTACCTAGATGAATCTTTTCCAATGTGAGATTTTTTTAAAGTTATTGAGCCTCTACCAAGAGGAACCTTTTTGTAGATAAAAATTTGAAAGTTATTGAGCCTCTGTCTGGAAAAACTTTTTTCAAGTCTATCAAAAGGAGCCTTTTTCCAGATAAAAATTTTAAAGTTATTGAGCCTCTGTCTAGAAGAACTTTTTTCAAGATGAAATTTTTTTTTTAAAGTTACTAAGCCTCTACATGGAAGAGTCTTTTTCAAAATGAATGATTTTTTTTAAAGTTGCTGAGCCTTTGCTTAGAGGAGATTTTTCTAATATGAAATTTTTAAGTAGTTGAACCTTTATTTAGAGGAGCTTTTTTCAAAATAAAATTTTTAAAGTTATTGAGCCTCTATGTAGAGGAGTTTTTTTCAAAATGAAAGATTGCCTTTACTTAGAGAAGTTTTTTTCAAGATGAGATTTTTTAAGTCATTAAGGTTATATTTAGATGAGCTTTTTCAAGATGAAATTTTTAAAATTATTAAGCCTCTATCTAGATGAGTTCTTTTCAAAATGAGATTTTTTTTTAAGTTATTAAGCTTCTACCTAGAGGAACTTTTTTCAAGATAAAAGATTTTTAAAGTTGTTAAGCCTCTATTTAGAGGAACTTTTTAAATTTTCAAAAACATTATTGAGCTTTTACTTAGATGAGTCTTTTAAATTCTCAAAAAAAAATTTCTTCTAAAAACATCGTTAAAAAAAATTTATGTTCAATGTTTCTTTTTTTCAAACAAAATGGTTGTCTATTTATTTATTTTTTATTCTTGATTTTCAGAAATAGGTAAAGAAGGACAACTGTAAGTACCTATTATTATTATTATTATTATTATTATTATTATTATTATTATTATTATTATTATTATTATTTCTTCATTTTATTTCATTTTTTTCTTTTTTTCTTTTTTTTGGCACATTTTCTGCAGCCATCGGTGACCGCACTGCCAACATCTCTAATAGTCATTGATCGCCATCCTAACAGCTACCAATAGCCACCCTTATAGCCAACCTAACCCTAGACAATCAAAGTTTAGTAAAATCTCAAAAAATCTGAGATTTTGATTATGATCTGGCTTTACAAATAAAGTCGCAAAGAATGAGGAAAAGAGAAGAAAGCCATTAAAAAAAACCCTGTAAAAAAAGATAAAAAAATCTTGCTAGATCTAAGAAAATTTGAAAAAAAAAAACTCAAAAATATCGAACAAGAAAAGCAAAAAACACAAAAACGAAGAAACTCAACCCTTGGTAGCGGGGATCTCGGTGCTTTTCAAAAAAATATAAAAAAATTTTTGGCCATAACTTTGGGCCTCAATCTACGCAGTTCAAGGTCGTCTTTTGTCAAAACTAGGCTCGGATTTGTGTTTAGAGGTTTGAGGGGAAGGTTTTTTTCTAAAGTTTTTGGGTTTTTCGACAACCGATGAAGGTGATCGATGGACGACACAATGTGTCGACACTAAAATCTGGGTAGGGAGGTGGTCGGCCAATGGATCTTTGGTTTAGGAGAGAAGCTCTCTCCTTTAGAGAGAGATTGCAAAAAAAAAAATGAATTAAAAAAATTTTGGCATTTTTATAAAATAATCTAAAACAACATCACTTTTAGGCCCGAGGATCTGTGTATGACCCAACTACCTGACCCAAGATCCGCGTAATCGACCCATTACCCGACTTTTCTTCAGCCTAAACCAGTCTAGTTGAATCAATATTGATCACTAAAAACTCGATCTAGACCGCATCTGACTGGCCCATCCAAACCAACATTGATTAGACCATTAACAGGTCCAATTCAGGTAAAAAATATTATTTTATTTTTTGAATTATTTTTAAAATTATTTTTATTTTAAATATTATTATTAGTATTTATGTATGTTAAAATGCTTAAATTTGCTAGAGTAAATATTTTTTGTTTTAATAATAATTAATAAAAATAAAATAAAATAAATAATGAAATACATAGTTAAAATTTTTTGATAATTTGGTTAAAATTTGGAATAAACTTTATAAAGTAATGATAAAAAATAATAATTAATAATTAATGAATATGATACCTAACCTTTTATGAATTTTTTAAAATTAAAATAAAAAATAGAAAAAAAATTAGTAAAAATGTAAGAAAAGAAAATTTTTATCCGACGATGAGATTTAAAAGTACTCTGAGTAGTGATACTTTACAAAATATTTAAATGAGAAATTTGTTTTTTAAATACTACCAATGTATTAGAGTATTTATAAAAAGTTTTCAATATAATAAAAATTTTCTTTCTTTTTTGGCTATAAAGTAGTAAGTGAATTAACTAATTTATTAAAAATAAAGTGATAAAAAATGAGAAAAAAATTTTTATCTGATGATGAGATTCTAAAAGTGCTTCGAGAAATGATGCTTTGCGAAATCTCTAGATGAGAAAATTTTTTAAATATTACCAATGTATTGAAATATTTATAGAAAACTTTCAATATAATAAAAAATTTTATTTTCTCCAAAACAATAACAATAAATAAAAATAATAATAAAATTTCTAAGAGTAAAATAAAATGTATACATCAATATATTATCATTTGCATTAGATGCACAACATAATTTTTTTTTTTTTTACAAAAAGTAAATCTGAGCCATTGATGATGAGATTCTAAAGTATTACAAGAAGCAATGTCTAAGAAATTTTTAGGTGAGAAAGAGTTTTTCTAATATTACCAATGTGCTGGAACATTTTAAAAATTATTTCAATAAAATAGTTCCAATTTATTTTTCTTGAATAAAAATGGAATAACACTAAATAATAAATTTTAATAAAAAAATAAATTCCAATAAACAAAAGAAGTCAATGAAACTATTTTCAAACACAAAAAATAAAATTGTTTTTTTATCAAAATAAATGAATAACCTATAGTTAATTGGTATCATTTTAAATGGACATTATAGGAGTGCTAATATTTCTTCACGCGTAACTAACTCCCAGACCTAGATTGTTTTACAAACCCTAAGATTATCTTTTTAATAAATTCTAATTAATTTTAAATTTCATTAAAAGGATACATTTTAATATGTGGCCAATAATCACACCTAGCCAAACAAAGATTGTTGGTAATTCTATTATTTTTTATTTTGTTTCTAAATTTGCCGGGTAGCTACAAAACCGTTACAACAATATATCAATTTATATATTCATATTATGTAAAATATTGATAATTTGTATATTTATAATGTATTTTAAACAAAAATTATGTGTTATAATTCGTACCAGTATGAAAGATATGAAATATATTTTTCAATTTTTATAAATCCAATAATATTTTTTAATATTTTAACCAATATCATCTTAATTTTTTTTAATTCGTATTATTTTTATATTATATCATTATATCATATATTAAAATTTTAAATCTATATGAGAGTCATAAGATATTGAACAAAATAAATAAATGAAATAAAAATCCTACACATGATCCCACATGGTATATAATGCAACTATATATGCAAATACCAATAAGTGCCTTTAGAGGAGTGGTGTTAAGAAAAAAAGAAAAGGAAGAAAATGGAAAAGCCATTGCTAGGCCGAAAAGATAAGGAAGAAAAATGGAAGATAACATGGAGTGCCTTTGGGAAGGAGCTAAAAAAGGTTAGCTACATGGCGGTGCCGATGGTGGCAGTGACGGTGTCGCAGTACCTTTTACAGGTGATATCGGTGATGATGGTTGGACACCTTGGAAAGCTGGATCTTTCCGGGATTGCCCTGGGTTCCTCATTCGCTAATGTCACTGGCTTCAGCTTTGTTGTAATGTTCTCTCACTCAATCCTTTCTCTCTTTTGTGTTTTTCACTTGCAAATTTGCACTGATAACCAAAATTTTTAGTTTGGATATATAGTTGAAACTGGTGAACACATTCATTGTTTAAGTACTTAAAGATCATTAAACAGAAAACTAAAGTTCAATGATGTACTTCTAGGAGAAAACATTGAAGATGTGAAATTTTGATCAGGTTTTTCATTTTTAGAAGAGTAAGATTTCTATCATGACTGTCAATAAAATCTTTTATTTACACTTTTCTCAGAAACTCTGGTACAAGAACTTTAGATCTGGAATCACATGAATTTGGTCATTTTTTATATATAATTTGAAAGCTGTCGAGTGCCATTCCGATATAAATCCAAAGTGTTAAAAAATCAGACACAGTTTTATAGTAGTTAGGTAAAGAGTTATGTTGATTCAGTAATTCGTTTAGTTTTATTGTATTTATTTCATGTTAAATATGTGTATAACATTAAAATTATTATGTCATAATTTGAGTTAATAAATCAAATACAAAATAAAATCTTGATTATTATCAAATTTATATACGATTTCTATCAAAATTTTAAAGCTTATGACTTTGATATTATTTTTTTATTGAGTTTAAAATTATTGAATTTCAGTTTTCATAGCACAACTCAAAAATTCATTTTCATAATAATAATTTTATGTATTTTTATCCTCCCCAAACAACTAGTAAAGCTTGAATCTGATTTAGCAATTTGTCTAATTGCATTTAATTAGTCTAACTCGTGAAACAGTCTCTCAAATAAAAAACAATGTGCTCGGCTTGATTATTAAATTTTAGAAAACCAAACGCGTTGTTGGATACCCAATTTCTTGTTTTTTTCAAGATTTTATGTTATTTTATATGTAAGAGTGCTTTTTTTTTTTTTTTCAATAGACATTCATGATCGGAATTGAGAAATAGTCAACATGATTTTCTTTTTAGAAGCAAAACATAGGGTCAGGAATCTAACCTAAAAGATCTTTGAGGATTTTTTTCACATTAGACAAACTCTTTAGTCAAATGTTCAAAACATGCTGTCTCTTTAAAATTGAAATTTAATATGAAATTGATTTTGTAACCTTGTGCTTTATATCTGAATTAGGTTTAATAACCTTCCACCCTAATTTCGTCCCTTCTGGCCTTTTATTTTCGCTTTAAAAAGTAAAATAATTTAAAAAAATACAGTAAGAAGATTAAGTATTGAAAGTGAAAAAAACAAAAAAAAAATTCAGAACATTTTAATTTATTTAATATATGAATAAAATAAATGGGACCGGAGAGTACATACCATTAATTATCATTTTCGTCGTTTTGTAAATTATTGTCCTAACTCAAACTTTGTTTGGACCGCCGGCCTTTCTTGCGGAAAGTACAGCGGAAAGCTGATCTAAGGTGTTCGTCTCGTGAGCATGTCGGTAAATCGGCTACACGCAAATACATTTGAATATTATATGAAAAATAATTTTAAATATTAATTTCCAGTAATAAAAAAATGTTATAAAAAATATATATGTAAGATATTAAACATATCAGTTTATAATAGAAAAAATTAATGTCAATAAATCACAAAAGTTATTATTGTCAAATATTTATAATCATACATTAGAATAATATTTAAATTAATTTTATTATTTCATAAATTTTAATAATACATATCATACAAATTATTCAATATATTTTGTGTTTAAATGATTTAAAAATATGTAATTTAAAAAAATATGTTAAGCTCATTTAGTTTGTAAAGTAGTAAAAGTATTCTATCATATCTAATAAATTATTATTTGCATTAATACTTTCAAGTTTTGTTATCAAATCACTCGATATATTATCAATATTATCATAGATAATAAAAATGGTAATACCATTTATTATTACAATTACATTTATTCTTATTGAATTACCATTCTTGCTATTCTTAATATTGTAAAAGAAATAATAATTTATTGTTATTCTTACAAGTCTTTATTATCAAATTATTTGTTTACTCATTTTACATAATTTAAAAACAATATTACTATTTTGTATTAACATTTACACAGATTTATTATGAAATTACTTATTTTGTTAGAATAGATAACTCCAAAGTAGTATTACTATTTTATATTAGCAGTTGTATATGTTTCTTATAAAATTATTTTTTTGTGCAAGGAAGGAACAACTTTAGAATAGGAGGAGAGTTGTAGGTAGGTGTTGAAATTTAAATTTTAAATTTGTTTAATATTATCCCTTAAAGGTAGATGCATATCAAATTATTAATAACAAGAATTGTTATTATCACTTATATTACAATTAAGGTTATGTTTAATATATAGGATTATGAATAAAATAAAATGATAATTATCTTATATTATGTTTGATTTATATATAAAGAAAGTGATAGCATTATAAGGATGATTAATCATCTTTTTTGTATAAAACGAATCAATCTTTTCAAAAGTAAAGAGAATTATTTTTAATTCATGATATTAAACTTATATGTTATATTATATATTTAAAAATTATATTAATAATTTAAATTATATAAATTTTGAGGAAGAATAATTTGACTAATAAATAAATTATCATATTCTAATATTTGCACATATCAAACATAAGATAAAATGACATTATTTAATCTAATTATATTTATAGTATCATGTTATTCTCTCTTATAATAATCTTGTGTAGTAAATACATCCTAAATGTTTAATTATTTGATTAGAACTTTTAATCTATAAAAAAAATAGAAAATTCCAACTTATTGTTACTTATGCATTTATTTGTTATTAAATTAATAGTTTATTACATTGCTAAAAAAAGTGCTATTATTATTTTTCTTACATTTACCAGTTTACATTATTTATGATCAAATTAAATTCTTTTATTACTTTATCTAGAACAAAGTAGTATTACGATTATTTTTTGGAAATGTTTATGATTATAATTAAATATTACATTAATATAATCAATTATTATATTATAATCAAATTATAATTATTGAATAATTAATTAATAAATGATAACATAATTAAACAACAAAATCCACAGATAGTGAAACTTGAATCCAAGACTTCCCCCATACTACTAAACCAAAATCACATTGAAAAATAGTATTACTACTTTTATTATAATATACATTTATTTCTTATTTTTAGCACTTAGCTAAAATAAAGTCGTAATACTATTTTTGTTAACCTTTACAATTATTTGTTATGAAATTACATATTATATTATTTCTAATAAAGTGTATCAAAATTACCATTTTATCATTTACATGTATTATTAAGCTATTGTGCATTATATTATTAGTCTTCATCTTTTTGAAAAATTAGTTCATCCACTGTTAGTGAAATTTTTAAATTTCATAAATTTTATAAGTAGGGGGATGCATACTCTTAGGATATATTTAAAAATAAAAAATTAATTATAACAGAATTGAGATATGGGTTAATCTCTAAATTTCTCTTGTGAAATTAAACAATTATCCTAATAATGTATCAAATACTAACTATTTTTTTGGGTAAACTTTGAAGGCAAATTCCAAAAAAAAGAAAAAAAAAAGTTGATGATAATAAAGTGTATAAATAATTGGAACTAATTTTAAAAATGTAAAATTCATTGTTTTTAGTCGTATGATTTTGAATTATACAAAGGGAAGTATATGAAATTTGTCTCTGGAAGGCTTGAAAGATTGTCTTTTTTTTTGTTTTTGTTCTATTTTGGTCCCATAAGCCATAAAGGCCTTTTCTCATTTTGGGTCCTAGTTTAAAATTTTTCGGCCGATGGGTCCTGATTAATTTATGGCAAAAGTTGGAATCATAATTTTGGTAAATGGTAGGGTCGGCTTTAATTTGGAGGCCTACAAATTGAATGCGTGGTCCAGCCCATGAATTATAGAAGAGAAAAAGCAATGACCCCAATTCGCATCTCGAATTTGTTAAGCAGTTTTGGCGTAGAAGCAGCTTTCCCTTAATCTCAAATTTGTCCGGAGCTGTCCTCCACCTCTTGATTTGATGAATGAAGAGTTTTTATGAAAACATAGAGGTCCTGATTTCAAGTCAAAATCTCCTTTCTTTTCTTTTTTTAAGGACTAAATCCTCTTTTAAACCCAAAAAAAAAAAAAAAAAATGTTCGATGTTTTGGCATAGAAGCAGCTTTTTCTTTTTTTTTTTTTTCCTAAAAAACATAAATACATACATGTATGAACCACGGATAAAGCTCAAATGGTTTACGAATCTTTATTACAAGATGAATTTTTACAAAATTAAGATTCGATTACTACAATTTTCCATTCGTTATTACATAAGCTTCTACTTTCTTTTATACTAAATATATATATAATTTATGAAATAAACATTATAATAGATTAGAAACAGAATTCTTGATTTGAATATAGTATTTGAGTTCCTTTTTTATTTATTGAATTAGTTTGGTTGACGTTTTTACTATTTGCTTTTTACTTTTTTTTAAAAAGTTAAAAAGGGGGTTTGAAAGCCAATTTTTTTTTTTAGAATCGTACACAGAATACATAATCTTTTCAGATAAAAAAAATATAACTTTATTTCTATGTAGACTAATTATGTTATAATTAGCATTACATTTTGTTTATTCCTTTATTTTTAAATCAATTACAATATGGTTTTGTACTTTTTGCTTTTGCTTTTTCGTCATAGCAATTTTTCAAAAAATAAAAGCAAATAGAAAAAAGTAAGTGACAAAAACACCAATTAAACAAATTATTATTGTTATTGTCGTTGAATGAAGGGACATTTGAACTTAACTCGGACTACTTTTTTATGTTTTCATCGTACTATAACAGATGCATTATAGTAGCATAATGATGTAATAAATAGTATGACATCTGCAAACACAATCACAATTTAGTTCAAACACCGAACTATTCCGGCTAATTTCTGTTTGATTTTCAGAATGTTTCATTTTTCACAAAAGTCTTGATTCTGAATATCTCAATATGAAATTATTGACTCTATATTTAAGTGCAAAACAGTTCGGAATTGCTGGTGCGTTGGAAACTCTATGTGGGCAAGCTTATGGAGCACAACAATATCAAAAGCTCGGAACTTACACTTACTGTTCAATTATTTGTCTCATTCCAGTTTGTATTCCAATATGCATTCTCTGGATATTCATGGACAAGCTGTTGGTATTGCTGGGTCAGGACCCTGAAATTGCAATGGTTGCTGGCAGATATGCAATCTGTCTCATACCTGCATTGTTTGCCTGCCCATTTCTTCAGTCATTCGTTCGTTATTTCCAGTGTCAGAGCCTGATTTTTCCCATGTTCTTCAGCTCTTCAGCAGCTGTATGTCTCCATATACCTCTCTGCTGGACTCTACTATACAAAACAAAATTAGGAATCATTGGGGCGGCTTTATCAACCGGAATAGCTTTCTGGTTCAATGTGATATTGCTTGGGATTTACATGAGGTACTCTTCATCATGCGAGAAATCTCGTGCTCTCATCTTCAAAGACATTTTCTCATGCATCAAGGAATTCTTTAGCTATGGACTCCCTTCTGCTATAATGCTTTGGTAATGTACAACCTTTTCTTAATTTCATCTTAATTTCTTGGGTTTAGATTTGTTTGCAATTTCCAAAAATACTCTCTCATATTCTGTAAATTATAGCCTTGAATGGTGGTCATCCGAGATACTCATACTGCTATCAGGACTTTTACCGGATTCAATGCTTGAGACATCAGTTCTATCGATATGGTAAGCTTCTAAACCAGTAATTTTGTGTTGAGTTATTTTTAGATATACTGAAAATGTAAATTTTTAACTTAAAGAGGTGGGATTAAAATACTGTCACATGTCTCATTTTATAACTCTAACCCTGTTTGTGGAATATAAAAACTCCACTGACAGTACTGGTTTAGATCCTTCTTTTGTGTTTTAAAACTTGAATTGCACAAGTTTTTCAAAAAAGAATGCTACTAATGATTTATGTGTCTTGACTTTTACAATGTGAAGCCTTACAATCGTTTCATTGCACTTCTTCGTACCATATGGGATTAGTGCTGCTGCAAGGTTAAATCCATAACTTTTCCTTCAATAAATTCTTCCTATTTATTGGCAATAAACATACCTTTCCACTTTACAATTGAATATATGCCTCTGCTACTTTGTAGTACCCGGGTTTCAAATGAATTAGGAGCTGGAAATCCACAAGCAGCTCGGCTATCTGTAATTGTTGCAATGGTTATTGCAATTATAGAGCCTATCATAGTGGCAACTGCTCTCTTTTCTTGCCGGCACGTTTTTGGATACATATTTAGCAATGAAAAGCAAGTTGTCAATTATGTTGCAGAAATGATTCCACTACTTTGCATTTCGGTATTAATAGACAGCATACAAGCAGTACTTTCTGGTAAGTTTTTGTGCTTTGACAGAAACTGTGGCTTGGCTTTTAGGGAGGAAATTAGCCATATAAACCTTGGTTTTTTGTGTTGATTAGGTGTTGCCAGAGGAACTGGGTGCCAGCACATTGGAGCCTACGTGAATCTTGGGGCATTTTACCTTGTTGGAATTCCATTAGCTGCCGTGTTGTGTTTTGGTCTAAATTTGAGAGGACAGGGGCTTTGGATTGGAATAGTGGCAGGAATTAGTGTTCAAGCATCGCTCCTTGCCCTCGTAACCGGGTTCACAAATTGGCAAAAACAGGTTTCATCTGTTATAAAATGCTCTTCTTGTTTATCCATACTCATAACAGGTTAATTTTTCTACCGAAGCATATATATTTAAACAACATTATTGAAAATTGCAGGCAAGCAATGTGAGGGAAAGAATGTTTAAGGTGGCAATCACAGCAGACAATGAATCAGCTTGAAAAAACCTGGAAAGAAGGAAAGAAAACATTAGAAGTTAGTTGTGGTGAACAACTGGCAGAAATTGGGGCAGAGGGTTTTCATTCCTAAAGAGATAATTAGGAAGACCATTTGGTGAAGGTCTTCATATGTCCACCATCTCCCCACCCCCCCTCCCCCCCACTTTTTTTTTTTTTTTTAATTTTGTCACAACCGGCTAAACAATTTTCTTGCTGTACTTTTCATCCCTTCAAGAGATCTTTTCCTTGGGTCCATAATTTTTTTTTTTTTTAAAGAAAATTCTCAAAGCAATGGTTGCATAGAAATGAAAATAGAACTAATTAAAATTTTTTAAAAAATGAATAGGTTGATTTTGAAAAATTTTATAACGATAGTTGGGATTTGATATATTTAAAGTGATATATAGTACAACATTTAATGTTTTGCGAACATGGTGAAATATTTAGAAAAAGAAAACATGAAAAGAATTAAGAGTATAGTTCAAAAATATTTTCCTTTAATATTTTTTGGTACATAAAATAAAAAAGAAAAAACATTCTAACGTTCCTATTCTTTTTGGTACATAATAGTTATATTCCATATTATAATCATTTACACACGATTTAGGTTCATCCTTGAAAAAGAATTTAGTTTATGTATTTAATGAGCAATTATCGTATAATAATTTAATTATATTTAAGATGATTACGTTTTCGGCAAACAATGTAAATATAAATTGCTTATTGACATGATGAGTTGAGGTCCTATTATTATATTTAGGATTAATTGAATATTGTATCTTTAATAGGACAAACAATGTAAATATAAATTATTATATGTAAATAATTATTAGAAATTATTTTAAGATGATTACACATGATATAATTTATTATATGCTTTATGAACAATCCGATTAATTAATAGATTTAATAATGAATTGAAATTATATTTGATATATAAAATTATGATAGGATAAGATAAAATGATATTATGAATAAGATTCATTTTATTTTATGTTTAATATGTGTAAGGATTAAGATAAAATAATATATTTATATAATTTAAATTATTAATTTAATTTTTAAGAGTAAAATAAGATATGTAAATTTAATCTTATAAATTAAAAACAATCATTTTCACTTTGAGAGAATTGAAGAGGATGATAATTCTTATAATTCTATCATTTTCAATTAAATACAAACTAAATATAATATATAATGATTATCATATTATCTTGTATATCATTTTATGTATGAAATATGACCTGAGATCCTAAGATTGATACAATTCCAAGTCTAAGGATAGAAAATGCATTAGATGAACATACCCATCAATCCATAAAAGATGCTCAGCAATGTGGATTTGGAGGCTTATATATATTACGTTTTCTTATCATTTAAAGAGTGATAAAACTAGACTAGAGGAATATAAATTTTTGCTATATTATTCATTTTACGCTATCGGTTTATATATATAATAGAGGTGATTTTTTTTTTTTTGAAAATTAAAGACATTTATTGATAATAGAAAATACAGGCTAAAGCCATGCTACAAATGACGAACTCCCTTAGACACCCAATTTAGCAAGAGAGTTAGCAAAATGGTTTGCTTCCCTAAGAGAGTACACAAACGAAATTTTCTTGACACGGGCATATAGATTGGACAGCCTATTTATGATGTTGTTATACTTCCAAGAACTTCCCGAGATTGAATTCAACCAAGAAATAACGACTAAGGAATCAATTTCAACAACAATTTTCGGAAAGCGGTCTATGTTAGCGTCAACAATGATCAAGAGAGCTTCTAGGACAACCAGCAGTTTTGCTAAGTTTGAATCTTGAATACCAATGTATTTGGAGAAAAGCATAAGAACGTGACCATTGTGATTGTGAACAACCCCCAAAATACCTGCAGGACCTGGTTTACCGATTGCAGAGCCATCAACATTCACCTTCCATACATCTTCAGGAGGTGGGATCCATTCAACATTCTTCCTGGCTGGTCTAACATATTACCTCGCCATCAGATTCTGGATGTTGGATACAGCATCAAGAGGAGTGAAGATTGTTCCAAGAAACTTAGCATTCAGCCACCAACCAAGTCTAATGCAAATCAAATTATAAATCTCTTCAGACGAAATAACTTTTTGGTTGAAGATCCTTTCTTTGCGCGCTAGCCAGACAGACCAAATAATCGCATATAACAACGATCCCCAAATCTGCTTATCAATTCCCTGCACTGCAATTTGATTCCAAGATTGAAATAAAAGCCTAAGAGTTCTTGGGATTACCTACGATATTCACTACTGCCCGCAGTACCGATTCCAGATTCTCCGAAAGAAGTTGTAGGAAATGAATAAATGATTAACAGTTTCACCTTCTTCACAGAATGAGCATTTATTCTCCTCTCTTCGTAAGCAACCTTTTCTTTTGAGCACATCCCTGACAGGTATACATCCTTGAATAACCTTCCACACAAAGATTGCAACTTTAGGCAGTGCTACACCTTGCCAAATGTACTTTTCGAACGGTGCAGCTTGGGAGGTGGTTTTCTGCAACTCCCGCCCAAAAGATTTTGGATTGAAAACATCATTTGTTATGTGAGCCCAAATAAATCCATCGGGAATTGAAGGCGATAAGGAGATAGAGTTTATCATTTTCAGAAAAGCTTCCCATTGTTTATGCTCCCAATAAAAGAGATTGAACTTCAGCTTAATCTTCCATGTCCAAGTTAAGCCATCCCATTCCCCAAATTCCTTGATAAATCCATCCTTTTAAACAACTAAAGCATAGATTCTGCCAAAGCTTTGCTTCAATATGTGGCTTTTGATCCATTTGTCCGTCCAAAAGCGAATTCTGGAACCATCACCTGAACAAAAAAAAAAACTAGAGTTCAAAATGTTAGAAAACCGTCCCCCATACCAAGTGCTTTTGATATCCTTCGATATTTGGGAGAGGGAATGGGTTGGGCAAGGTGGAGGCTTCAGATCGCCTAAAGAAGCGTGTACTTCTCACATATCACGTTCTTCCAAATGGAGTTCGTATCTTTCCTAAACCTCCAAGGTCATTTGACAAGTAAAGCCTGATTGCTGAAGTTCAGATTGGCAATCCCCAAACCACCATATTTTTTACTTTTACAAATTGTGGCTCAGTCAATCAACCTCAGTTTTCTTTTGCCTTCACTATCACCCCACAGAAACTGCATTTGGATTTTTTCAGGCGTAGAGATTAGTCCGCTCTGGAGCCCTAAACAAAGACATATAGCTCACTGGCAGTTTAGCAAGAGCAGATTTGATTAGTACAACTCTGCCTCCCACAGATAAAAACTTACTTTTCCATAGACTGAGTCTGTTCTTGAAAGAATCTATGACCAGTTGCCAAGTAGAAAGCAGCATCGGGTTGGCTCCCAAAGGGAGACCAAGATATTTTGCAGGTAAGGAGCCTGCCCTGCATTTTATTTTTAGTGCCCATTCTCCTATCATCGAGGGGTCGATGTTGACACCATATAAGGCGCTTTGAAAAAAATTTTCTTTCAGACCAGAGGCCAATTGAAAGCACCGAAAGACCCTTTTAATCACCAGTAAGTGCTCAAGTTGTGGCTCGCGGAGTTTGAGGGTGTCATTCGCAAATTGAAGATGCGAGACCTATATGTTTCGATACCCTATCATGATTCCTTTGAATAGTTCTAATGACACAGCTTTTCTAAACAGAAAGCTCAACCCTTCAGCAACAATGTTGAACAGAAAGGGCGAGAGTGGATTGCCTTGACTTAGTCCCTTTTGGAGTATGATTGGGTTCAAAGGGAAGCCATTTATGAGAACTGAAACCGTAGCATTGGAAATAAAACCATATATCCAGCCAATCCACTTACTGCCAAATCCCATGATCCTCGTGATAGAGGACAAAAATTCCCCATCAACACTATCAGAAGCTTTTTCAAAATCTAACTTGAGGACCAAGCCACCCTTGGGAGACTTCTTCATATAATCAATAATTTCATTAGCGATCAACATGCTATCCATGATTTGACGCTCCTTCACAAAAGCCTACTGAGTAGGGTGGATTATTGTTCCCATAACTTGCTTTCGCTTATTTGATAGCGTCTTGGCCAAGATTTTGTATATGCAGCCAAGAAGTGAGATAGGCTAAAAATCATTAAGGGATTCTGCACTCTATTTTTTTGGAACAAGGGCTATGAATAAAGTGTTCACACCTTTAGGGATTTTACTGTTTTGAGAAAATCCTCCAAGAACTCCATAATATCCGATTTCAACAATAACCATTTTTTCTTTACCATATTGAAATTAAAGCCACCAGGGCCAGGGGCTTTGTCACTACACTCCATCACTGCCTTCCAAACGTCTTCATCACCAAAATGGGCCTCAAGCTATTAGGCTTGGTCGTTGGTTAATTTCTCTATGTCAAAATTCAAGAAAGAAAATGCTGGATCATCATCCTTCCTGAATTTATCCTTAAAAAGACACTCAACAGCCTGTTTAACATCCTTTGTTGTGGAAAGATGTTTCCTCTTGAAAGAAAGGTGGCCCAAAAAGCTATTCCTCCATCTGCTATTTACTAGGCAATGAAAAGATCTGGTGTTTTTATCTCCTTGAAACCACTTGACCCCAGCTTTTTGTCTCCAAGTTATTTCTTCAACAGTTTGTAGGTGCCAAAGTTCCCTCCTTTTAGAGTTGATGAGAGGGCCAAAATCGTTGTTCACTGGGGCATCCTCATGTCTTCTCTCCAGCCCTGCTATTTCCTTGTTAAGAGCTTCAATTTCATTATAAACTCCCCCATTTTTGTATCCGATCCATAATCTGATGTCTCTCTTTAAGAATTTCAGTTTTTGTTAAAGCCTAAATCCGGTGAATCCCTGCACAGAATAGCTATTCCACTTTATATCTACTATATTATTGAATTCGACTTTGTCCAGCAAATGATTGAACATCTTAAAAGGTTTAGGGCCCTAGTTGATGATGTCAACACCAAGGCAAATAGGAACATGATCCGAGAAGGAGCCTTTCTGACTCCATTGATTGAGGGATGAAAAAACTGACAACCAATTGAATGACAGTAAAAATCTATCAAGCCAACTCATTGCTTAGAGCTACTCCTTTTATACCATGTGTACTTCCTACCTATGACGGGAATGTCCAACGACTCAGCAGATTTGGGTGAAACTAACGAAGTCTCTAATGGATATATCCACGTCAGAAATTCCCACCCTTTCGTCCTCATTCAATACGGCGTTGAAGTTTCTAGCGTAACACCAAAGC